AAAACACCCAGGGTTTGAATTCAATGTCGCATCGCTCTGAAAATTACCCTTGGATTGTTCATGATTTTAGGTTAGTGGAGACGGAAGACAGAGCGAGTGACAAACGGTAATTGTGGTCGTCATAGCCCGTTCCAAGCTCTCAGCAAAACGGAGCGAAATAGTAAACGGCGCAATAGTAGCATACGAGCGAAAATGAAGGAGGTTTGGGTCGGATCGCGCAATTCATTACGGGACGCTAGTCAACCTCCCTTGCTTTTCCATTCCTTGGCTTCTATCGTGCCGTTTAAGATCGCGCTTCATTTTATTTGTTGAATCCCTGGAACAGGTTATAGTTGCCAGAGAACCGCAGTTTTTCTTTGTATGACTAACAATCTAACACGTTCCAAGCAGTAAACAGGTGGAGTGACAGTCTGCACTAACAACTCTTCCCTACTACATGTCCCCCTCGAGTGCCTTGGCCTTAACATCTAAGATTAAACGTTTTGTTTCTTCTATGCTGTAAGAAATACAATTGTAGTCTGACGAGAGCGTAGCCTGTGAACGCTTACGTATTTCCAGTTGTCCCCATTGTCAGCCCATTGAATAGACAAGCGACAACCGGAAACTGGTCTTCGTACACAGGCCAAAGACAGCTAGACCTGAGCAAAGTGCTGAATTACAAAGCAGATTCCTACACTAAGATTTGGTACAAACGGTACAACGCTAACGAAATGTCTGTATAGCTACAGCTACAAAAGTAAATCCGTTTCACTAATAACCAAGGTAAAAAACAGCATAATATCACTTCCAGCAAGGGGAGTTTCCGAGTGACCAGATATCCCCCAGGCCACCAACCCTAGGAGTGTCCCAGAGGGGGAGAGGGGCGAGAGGAATGCTGACATTTCATACTAACAAGGACAAAACTTGAGAGCTGAGCCTTTTTAAACGAGTTTCCTTAAAGAAGCATTTCTTACCTATTTTCCTATTTATGTTCATATAATGAAAATTGAACAATAAAAAAACCAAAAATAAAAGCAAAAGAAAAATTCAAGTGCACCCTATTCTACATTACCAAATTTGCAAAACGGTTAGAAATGAAACGGAATTTACTTTACCTAAATTCCAGTCTATTATCTGTTGTTCCTATTTCCTCTCCCCTTGCTGTTTAAAAAATACTGTCCATCTATTTTTACAATTTAGCCTAAAGATGGGATCCCACAAAATGTTTGATTTTGTCAAATGATTTTCCTTTTCTTTTATTCTTATTTCTCATTTGTTTTTTTTTTTATCTCATTCTTGGTTCCTTTTTCCTTTAATTTTTTTTTTGTGCGTGTATAAGCCCTTACTACAAAGCTGGAACGGGTAGTTGCTAATAGCAAAGTGGCTCGGTGGCACTTGTTGGTAAATCGTACCTTACACCTTGTAGACTACTGCATGGCATTTTTGAAGGTTTTGTTTAAGGCAGATTTTGAGGATTAGATTCGACTCTAACTTCATTTTCAAGCTTTGTGCTTTCCTACCAGCGATTTTGAAAAACAAATGAAAACGGCAGGTACTTGTAAATGAAACTGATATACTTTTCCCGATTTTGTCACCATTGCTGGAAGAAATCTTCAAATCTTCGTTTGTTTCTTTCCTTCCTTCGTGGTTTTTTTGTTTTCTTTTGTTGTTTTTTGTTGTTATTTTTTCTATTGTCGATTTTTCGTTTTGAAGAAGTTTTCAAGACGTTGCGCCGACCACTTGTAAACGTTTTAGAAATTAAAACTACCAAATTATTATTTCATTGGGAAATTTGGTATTATCAACTGAGTTGAAACCGTAAATTGGCCTCCGTAAAGAATTTCAAAGCTCACGTTTCGAGGTTAGCCCCTCGTCAGAGCGAAACCATTCGCTCTGACGAAGGGCTAACGCTCGAAACATCAGCTTTGCAACTCTTTACAATGGCCAATTACCGTCATCAACTCAGTTGATAATTCCAAATTACCTTGTTATACCCTCCCACCAACGCAGCACCACGGTTTCTTTAGAAACTCAGCCCATTTATTAATGTTATTTCATTACTTGGATTGTAATTTCTTATTTCTTCTACTTTACTTTTTTCCACCTTCAAAGGAATTTTCCAAAATTTCATGGACTACTCGTAAACATATCAAATATTAAAACTATCAAATTGTTATCTCTTCTTATTTAGAGAGGAATGTATCCTCTTCGACGATACGGTACCGATCTGTTGAGTGTTTAAAACTATCATTAAAATAAACAAAAACCATTTCAAAAAACATTATGAAAATAAAGAACTTGAACTAATTTATCAACGTATGCTGAGAACAGCACATTTTCACTATGTTGGTATATAACTCTCACACCAAAGTATTTTATGTTTCTTCGCTGTATCGTCGATATGTTACGTTACGTTACAGTTCGTTCTGTTACGTTAGGTCACGTTACCATCCATTAGGCAGCTACAAGACGTGCCATTTCGTTACGTTTCTTTACGTTTCTGTTTCATCACGGTAAATACAAAGTTAACAAATCAAGTGTACGTGATCAAAAACTCAGGGTAGGACTGCCCATTTTCAAACACAACAAACAATGCAGGATTCGCTGTGTTGTCACAACAGGAGTCATACAACACATGGGGATTGGATGAATCTTTAGGGGGAGGCCTTGTAAGAGATTTGTCTCCAGCTGTAAAAGAACCCACCAGAACCTTAGCCAAGAACATCTGCTTAGCGCCACGAGTAAAATCGCGATTGGAATAACAGTGAGAATAATTAGCATTAGAAGCAAAATAACTTCCCTTGCCATAAGCTGTACCATTTTTCCCGCACATTCGCCAGTCGAATCCCTGTTGGCAGATTGCTTTAACAGTGTTGGGGTTTGTTCCATGGAAGAGTTGGCGTTCTTCGGGTTCTTTGCCGCTTTTCTTAGTCATGCGGACCTTCTTCCTACAAATTACGAAGGAAAAAAGAGGATGTAAAAACACGTTCAGCAATCTTGTGTAAGATACTTGTTACCACCTTTCTGAGCTTTTGTCTCTCTAACTTTCCACAAAATCTTAACCCATATGATTAAGATTTCGATTGGTCATCATTAATTGCATTTTGCTTTTTCATCATATAAAACGAATAGATTCAATGTCTCTGTGGGTGTGTTCAGTAATAGGTCACAGAAGACGTCAAAAATTTTGTCCTTAGGACATTTTGACGTCATCTGTGATATATTACTGAACGGACGTATGTAACGTAACATAGAGCCTACTTGTTTAAAGATCGTTCTGTCATATCACCTAAGATCGCCGCAAGATGAAAACGAGCTAAACGGTTTCCTTTAACGAAAAACTATCAAATGGCGGCAATGGAAATAGACGAACCACTTAACCCTTTACACCGTAGCATCAGTATGCATGTTCTCCTTACTGTTCTCTACGCATTTCCTGAGTTGCTGACGAGGAGAATTTGTTGAACAATCAAGAGCTTCTTTAGTGGGTGATCATCTTATTAATTCTCGTCTCCTTCATGTTTGATTTAAGGGTGATATTTTAAGGAGAAATTAAATGTCAGTCAATTTTAGGAGCCAAAGGGTAACACGACAGAAGCCATGAAGTCTATCCCAACTTCAACTCGTAACTTACTGTTTGAATAGAATCCACAGATCCGGGTTCTGCACTCGCTCTATGGAGACAATTTTGTGGCTCTCATCCATTGAATCTTTGAATCTCTTCTCCGTCTTCTTGTATTCTTCGGTGATTGTTGACAAACGTTCACACGAGTACTCCTCGCCTACAGGAACAGAAGACCAGTGAGATGGCACCCCGTCCGCTTCTGTGGAAAATGAACTTGATGGTCGGGCCGTACCAGCAGCTTTACGCCTGATAAAAAAGCAAAAAACACCAACTTTACCTTGGAACAGACTTATTAGACATACACTATGTGAAGGAGGGAAAAATTATGTTAATTTAATAGAGCTGTTTCAAGAAAGGTTGTCGGAATAAAGGACAAAAGCGCACGGGACGATCTCGAAAGGTAATCTGGGTATCCGGTAGTCAATAAATTTTAATAATTCTAATAAATAGATAGATACATCAAACCCGCTATGCCTCGTCCTTTCAGTGACGTTTTCTCGGATTTCCCTGAGATCCTGCGGTCAAGGAACGGTGATCTGAAAACTACCCACGCCTCGCGTGCACTTTTACACCTTTTTTTCCGACAAACTTTCTTGAAACAGCTCTATATTCATATCATGGTTGGGCTGCTTCACATGTTAACTGCCTGGTGAAACATTTTTCTCTTTAATTAAACCGGTAACGAAAAAGGCAAATCAAACCCTTCACTTCACCTGAAGTACAGAGAGGGTTCCAAACTGAAATAATTTATTCGCAGGCTAATTCTAAACCAA